AGTTCATTTAAGTTGTCTGTTACTTACCGCCATGTGGCAGGTTGACGTCCCACATATCATCGCCATGCGTGTGGAGATTGGGTGGTCCTCACAGGGCAAGTGAAAGCCTTTTACATCTGCACCGATCACACCTGGAATGAGCAGAATTACAGATGTCACATTTAATTGCAATCATATTAAGTCAATATCAGAATCTGTTTTCTACTGAGGAAAAAACATATTGTCAAAATGAAGGTTTTTGGTGTTACCTAATATAAAGTTGATAAAACTCCTGTAAAGATCCACCAGGGACGCAACGCAATGATTTGCAGATTGAAAGCTTTAAATCCTTTAGAAGCGGCAGCGCCACTAACTGCTGAACTAATGTTTGTCAAGTTGGTTTGAGTTTAAGGTGGAAGATTAATGTACGTGCAGGGGCTGGGGGGTGTGCATCATTGTGTAAAACAACTAAATAATGAGTGACTGGCAGAGGTCACAGTCAGCGGTCAGAGGTCAGAGATGGTGAGCAGTGTAACTTGCAGAACAAAAACCAGAGGGTTAGGATTTCTGAGCCACCCTGAGACCTACTGCTGCACTGAAGCCAACAAAGCAGGCATAGATACAGTACACCACAGCATTAATTAGTAACTTTCCAAACTGGGACAACTTTGTTTCCTTTATGGTCCAGAACAAGATATCCTGGCAATTAGTGGCTCTGACTGTGGCTCAATCTGAGCAGAGCGCCTCACCCACTAATCACAGGGTTGGAGGTTTTGAGTTGCGGCTTCCCCCTGAGCACATATTGAAGTGTCTTTGAGCAAGACACTGAACCCCAGATTACTTCCTGATCAGGCCAGCTCCACAGCACGGTAGTTTGCTGCCATCATTTGTTTGTGAGTGAGAGGCAAATTATAAAGAGCTTTGCATTCTGAAAAAATGAATTGTTTCCCTTTCGCACACCCATGAGCTTTCACCTAGTGCCACCCTCAAATCAAACTGTTCATTTTGTTCATGTTCTATGATACTGAAAACTCCTGTGGTGTGTCCTAATGCGTTTGGTGAGTCCTGGACATTTCTAGCATTGTCATTATGCAAAGAAATCTAAAAATCTAACAAGCAAATTGTTATGAAAGTTTACAAAGAAGATGAACTTTTTCATATTTGATCCAGGAACTTTGCAACATGACATGTCAAAATGTCAACACTGGAAAAGAAACATGTAGTGTCAACATTAGACGTAAGCACCAGAGTGTGACAGATTAAAATGGTCACCTCACTACCTGCCATCCAGAACTTGCAAAGTCACATAATGCATATTAAAAAAAACAATGTATATATCGAACAATCACATCTTATTTGTAACAGCAGAAGACCTTTATATCCCAGGGATTGTGATACCAGTGTGTGATACCTAGCCCTCCAGCATGAGCATCAATAAGAGAAGCACCAACTGCAGTTCCTGGCGCCAAACCCAGATTTGCTGCTGCCTCCTGGGTGAGGCCGTTTCCCAACGGGTTCCCTGGGGAGCATGTTACACTGCCTGGATGACAGAAAACAGCACAGCTTAAGAAATGCATAGCTACTGTGTTTGGAAAGATCAAGAAATGAAGTGTCTGCAGTATTCTGTCACTTCTGCAGCATAAATTAGAATCTCATTGTTTAATGTCTAAACTAAAAGATGCTTTGAAGTAGTCATCTTTTTCTTTCTCTGACCTATTTTGGAAAAATTGTTTTCCAGGATGTCCTCCAGTCCAATGCTGGTCCAGAAGCTGCCATCCCACCCTTCTGGAGGGCAGTATGTCCATTTACACACCAGTGTACATAACGACCTGTGAAACAGTAGATATTTCACTAATATAGCCATAATTTTTAATATCTATTCAAAAACATTATATAATTTTAACACTATCTTGTGAAGGCCACAGTATAAAAAACACTTTGTCTGTGATAAGAGACATGGTCCTTTCTTGGTACACAGGACAACCCTGTTCATTCTTTTAAACAGACATTTGATACAAGGATAATATTTCAACTAGACAGCACAGCAGCCCAACAACTAACACCTTTTAAATACCAACAACACTTTGCAGATCACTGTCAATGGTTCATCTTTCTCAGTCCACCTCTGATAATTCTATTAGATACATATTCATATTAAACAATCAAAGAGAGTAGGTGACTCAGAGATAAAGGTTTAAATAATCTGCAGCCATGATGGCATCATCTAACTAAGTTCACCTTGTCAACGAGCCTGTTGCTTTCCAGGACAGGAAGTCTGGCAGGTCAAAAAAGTTAGCAGCTTTGTTCCAGCAGCTTTCTTTTAGATTCTGGAGAAGATGCAAAAAGGGAAGTGTAATAATGAACCTCTGATCAGGAGGAATAACAGTACATAAATGTACTGACTGGTCAGAACTAACCCATAAAGCACTTTGAGGCAATGCTAACATGTTCTGAAGAACCTATCTTCAGGCAGAGAGATAAAAAAGCAGGCAAAGATAAAACAGCAGCGGGCACATGCTGACCAGCCACAGATCAGTGGCTGGGCAGTGACCTAGCTCACCTCTTTGAGCCAGAGCAGCTTAGGGGGTTGCATCTCTGGTGACATGACCCCTCCCACCCTGCTCAGGACCTTGTGGCCAGTGTGGGTTATACGAGCAGCCTGCTCTGCAGCTCGATGGTCCATCCACATTACCACATTCTTTAGTCTGTCACCTGAAGACAAAGGGAGGTCAGTGTTGTAGTGGAAGCAAATAGCAGCATCCAGAAGAAAAAGGTGGATCTGGGGTGTTCTCAACATAAATCCACATCCAGGGTGGAACAGTCTTTCTTGGAAAGATTAGTGTACATTGAAAACAGCATAGCATTTTCTTCCCCCTGTGCTGATAAGTGCATTTATAAAAAAAAAAAATAAATAAAATAAAAGACTTTTTGTGTGGACTTCCTGTTTTCTTTGCACTTTGATTAACTAAAAAAAACAAACATGAAAACATGACCAGCTTCTGGGTTTCTCTTTTAAGTCTGACCCTGACCGCGGCCCTCGCTGTGAGGGAGGGGATTTTACCTTCACATTACGTTAGACTGAACCTGCTTCTCCTAGCAAACAGCTAACAATGGAAATCTTATATGCCAAAATGTCCCAAAAATCCATTAAGGCAAAATTTTACAACCTTTCACAAACATAATTAATTCTATTTTTAATAACCCATAATATGTACATATTATGGGTTATTATATGGGTTATATTATGTACATAGGTACATATTACAATACTTATACAATATTGTAAACAGTGCTGTGTAAAGTATTCAGGTCAGGTAATTCACTCACCATCCTGACTGACTGGCACCGGCTGGAAGGTTTGGTCCAAAACCACTAAAGAGCAGGTGGCATCAAAGCCAACGCCCCTCACCTGGTTCCTGTTCAAACCCTGGGTAACATTCTGGAACAGAAACACAGTGTAGTCTGAACAATCACTGCAATCCAGTGCTTTTAAACAGTTCATGTTGATAGAGAATACATGAGCAGGCACCGCATCATAGTTCAACACTGTGTGTCGCAATGGCACGATTATAATAAGAAAAATAAGCTCCGACTTACTTTCACATATGACCAGCATGTTTGAAAGACACTGACACATACAGTATGTTTTGTCCTCTCGGTCAGTGATTCCTAAGGAGCATCTTTATAGATGCTGTGAGTTTAATAATGTACAAATCCAAAAACAGAACGTATGAGTTTCTCAAAATAATATATGAACATACAGTATTTATGTTTAACAGGTATGATAAAGATCCAAATGGGATTACAAACAGCTGTGATGCTAATGTTTAATAAACCTGTCACAAAAAACAGTAAGCACACAACCTCTATCAACCTGAGGCAGCTGTGACACCTCGAAGGTGGTGAGTGTTGTAACTGACAGTGCATAAATGTTAGCAAATTAGCAAGATGAAATACAGTATTTGATATAATTAGCCAAAGGTAAGTTCACAGATACAGACATCTGCTAAATGTAACTGATAAACAGCTCAACAGTTATTAGCTAAAAGTTATGCATAAACTGCTTAAATATTCGCTAACGCAATGGATGATGGTTAAAATAAGTTTCTAAATGTAATCAATAAACATGTTTAATAACTAAAAATAATAATTAAAATAAAAGTAATGAAATTTAAGCTAAAAATAATGGTGAGACAGTTGCAGGGTTTTCCATCACTACTAGTGGTAGTTTCTAAACTTGACAAAACTAAACAGTGAACATTCAAATGTATGGGAAAAAAAATGTAATATCCGATTTTGCGTTGTCTTACTGAGTGTATGGGTCTATCTTTGTGTCTATTTTATTCCATAGATTATATTTGACACTTCATTGGGTCTATTTATCATAACATCCACATAAAAATCAATTGAAATGAACATATCTGACACATGAGGAGTGTGGGGCCTGCGATGGGCCACTTGGACTAAGGTCATCCCACTGTACCTTTACAACTGAGCAGCATTTCTCCCAGATCTCTGTGGAGGACTGGACATAGTGGTCAGCCTGGGGCTCCCAGATGCTGATATGCTCCTCTGCAGTCCTCTTCAGCACACCCTCTCTGGTCACCAGTGCAGCCCTGACACTGGCGGTGCCCACGTCCACTCCAACGTAATAGACCTCTGCCATGAGGAGCACGGCGGAGCAGGACAGGTCCCGGGGCTGATTATTAACCAAGATACACTGTCAGTGTCACCATTTCATGGACTGTTTCGAAAGAGATAGAAGTGGAACATAAATGTCAAAGCGTGTAGGCTATATATGGTTCGTTTGCTTTGAAGACTTCATTCATTTCATGAGCTGGTTTATCAGATAATGAAGTTGACCTCAAATCAGTGTGATAACGCAACGGGAAAGATTTTCACCACACGGAGTTTCATGTCAGATACACATGGTGTGCACCATAGCAGACATTTTACATCGTCTAATACAACATCTCCAAACTCACCGTCGGATCAAAATCTTACTCCAGCACAGAAAACATCACATCAGAGTTTTTCAAGCGTACTTTGAGCTGCAGACGGTGGCTGCGACGGAAGGCGAAAGCAGCCAAAAAGGGTGCAGTCGCATTTTTCTGTTGAGGCTTATAGTGTCCGAAACCAGACAAGTAAGCAACACATGGAGCAACATGAATGGGCTGTTTGTCTTTTTCTTTCTCATCTTCCCATCTCTGTAAAATTTACTACTATGTTGTGGAAAAACTACTGTACTACAAAGAAGGGATAGACACAGGCTAGAAGGGACAGTCTACTCTGGTAGAGGGAAATACCATAGACTTCTAAGCCTTATAGTAGATGCAAGATGGCTACAAGGTTAATTACAACACAAAAAAACTTTTTCCTACAATAGTCCATTGGGGCTAGCAAAAGAAATATTCATTGCCTGGTTAAAGAAGCAGA